GGCAATTCACCTGCTGACCCCAACTGCAACCCAGTCCTGATGAAGGGTTTGGCCCAAATCATTGACTTTCCCGCTCCTCTGATGCTGTCTGACCTGCTGTGCTTTTCAAGTCTCACACCTATAGACTCTGGCTTCTAGCATTTGCAGTCTTTATTGTCTTCAACTCTCCTCTCTCTCAGTATCTGAGGTGTTGCAAACGGTGCTGAACATTGTGCAATCATTGGTGAACATTTTCACTTCTGACCTTATGATGGAGGGAAGGTCATTAATGCAGCAGTTGAAGATGGTTGGGTCTAGGACACCACCTGAGGAACTCCTGCAGAGATGTCCTGGTGCTGAGATGACTGACCTCCAACAACCACAACCATCTTCCTATGTGCCAGTACGACTCCAACAAATGGAGAGTTTTCTCTCTGATATGCACTGATTCCAGTTTTGCTCAGGCTCCTTGTTGCCACATCAATTCAATGTAGTCTTGATGACACTCTCACCTCATCTCTGGAATTTAGCTCTTTTGTCCATGTTTGAACCAAGGCTGTAATGAGGTCGGGAGCTGAGGATCCCTGGTGGAACCCAAACTGGGCGTCACTGGGTAGGTTATTGCTGAGCAGATGCAGCTTGATAACACCGTTGATGACGCATTCCACCACTTTACTGATGATTGAGAGTAGACTGCCGGGGTGGTAATTAGCTGGTTGGATTTGTCCTGCTCTTTAGGTACAGGACATACTTGGGCAATTTTCCCCGTTGTCGGGTAGATGTAAGTGTTGGTATTTACAATTAGTGAAAAGTATGATTGTTTATTCCCATGCTAAATGAGAAGGTTTCAGATATCTACAAATACCAGTACTGGTATTAGTGACATGCCTGCCAATTTCTGAATTTTGAACTGTAATGAAAGGGACAAAATACTTACACACTAAATACAAGCAGAAGTAGACCATTTAGTTCCTCAAGACTGTTCCGCCATTCGATAAGTTCATGGCTGATCTGTATTTTGAATTCCACATTTCCCATCCACCTCAAATAACCTTGGTTTCCCTCATCTAACAAGAATCAATCCACCTCTGTCTTAAAAATATTCAACAACCAGACTCTGCTGGCTTTTGAGGCAGAGAGTTCCAAAGTCACCCAACTCTTAGAGAAAAAATATTCTCCTCGTCTCTGTCTTGAGAATGGAAATCCTAATTTTAAAACAGTGCTTCTTAGTTCTGGACTGACCCACACAAGAAAACATATTTTCCATGCCCAACTTGTAAAGACCATTCAGGATTTTATGCAGGATTTTAGGACTTCAATCAAGTCACCTTTTAAGGGTACAAGCTTAGTCTGTTCAATTTATTGTTATAATTCAGCTCATTCCTTCCAGGTATTAATCTGGTAAACCTCTTCAGAACTGCCTCCAGTATATTTATATCCTTCCATCAATATGGAAACTAAAACTGCACACAGTATTCAAGATGTGGTTTCACCGATGCCCTCTACAACTGAAGAATAACATCATTACTTTTATGTTAAATTCCTCTCGTAAAAAAGGATAGCCTCTCATCAGTCTTCTTTATTATATGCTTTGTCTACATATAAACATCTTGTGACTTGTGCACTAGAACACCTAAATCCCTCTGCACCTTAGAATTCCACAGTCATTCTTCATACTAGTAATATCCTGCTTTGTCATTCTTCTTGGCAAAGCGAACAACTTCACAATTTCTCACATTATATTCCATCTGCCGGATTTTTGCCCACTCACTACCTACATAATCTATCTGTATTTTTCTCACGGCAATGAAGGTTGGTTCAACAGAAAATCACAGAAAATGTTATTGGGCTGGCACCACAGAATGTTGCCATTTCTTTCCATCTTTGCTAGAATGAATAAAGAGTGAGACCGAGATCCCACACCCCTGAGTTGTGGAGGCAATTGCAGTCCTTAAAGAGGCACCGAATAGCCATTTGGTGTATTCAGTCATTCTTTACCAATGGCGCACAGATGATATCACAGGAGTAATCCATCCCCCGGGTGCAGTGGGGGTTTCGGGCAGCCAAAGGGTACCTGCCACCTTCCTGGCTCCTCATGATCCAGTCAGGGGTAGGGAGGTCAAGAACAGCTTTCACTACCAAAAGCCAACTGAAGCTGTCAAATGGTCATTTAAGCACCTCATCCTGCTATGGCTGCTCCTGTACTTCTGACTATCTGACAGCTATTGGAGGAAGGATATTCTTCCTCAAAGGGACAGATGTCCAAGCATCAGGCTGTTAATTGTCTAATAAGCACAGCTCCCAGGACCAGCCGTGGCAGGATTGATATGGCTTTCCAGACTGCTGTCATGTACAACACCACTGCCATTATATCCAAGGCCTGTGTCTGCAACTCATAAATTCAGATGAGGTGAGTGCACAGTGGGAAGTCATGAAAGTATGAAATTGACATGAACTCATCAATAAAGAAGGAAAAATGGCAAGTCTTCCATCACCTTTAGACAGAGACTTGTGTTGAAAGGAGGCCAGCGGTGCTGATTTTGGTTAGGATAAACAGCCTCTAGTTCTCTCCTTCAGGAGACAAGCCAGTTGGGTGAATAAATGGAGATATATGAGATAATGCAATGGGGAATAACAAAGTAAATACGGAGTAAATAGTAGAATACCAGTAAGTACAGAGGAACCAAGGAACCTGAGATCTGTATCCACAGATCCCTTCATGTGGCTATACAGGCAAATAGTAAGGTCATGGGCATATATGGGATGCCTACCTGTATCATCTGAGGCATAACATACGAGAGCTGACAAATTATGCTGGAATTGTATAAAACATTGGTTAGGTTACAGCTGGATTACCACTTTCAGTTCTGGTCACCGCACTACAGGAAAGATGTGATTACACTAGAGACAGCACCAAAGTGATTCACATGGGCATTGCCTTGACTAGAGAATTTTAACTCTGAGTAAAGATTGGGTTAAGTTATTCACACTGGTGGTAATTGGAACTGTGTGTTTCAAAGGGTGGTACAGGCAGAAACGCTCATACATTTTTTAAAAATTGAGGCGGGGCGACGGCAATACAGGGAGGGCCAGCAACTACGAAAAGGACAAGCTGCAGCACATACAATGCAGCCACAAGTTGCTGGAAGCAACAGAAGAGATTGACCACAAGGCAGGTCATAAAATAAAGCGCTAGACTCAGCTGAAGACCTATAAGGTGAAAGGTTAGCTTTGCTGACATTTCTGAGCACAGTGCCTCTATAGGCAGTGACTCTCAGGCAGGAGATCTGTGACTTCTGTGTCATCTTGCAAGAAGACCTGAGGCCAGTGACAGTGGGTTAAGTACTCTTTGCCAAGATGGCAGACAGTGTCGTTGTGGCTGTGAACATTTTCACTTCTGGATCATGGATCTGCAGGATTTCACAATCCACACCCCTTTACTGAACCAGACATGCAGTAATGATTCCTTTGTATAAGCAAAAGGGATTATATCAGGTTGGAGATGGTTGCTGCCAGCTAACTCAGCAGATTGTTGACCTTGCGTCCATGGCATGATGCCTGAAGGTGAAGGGCTATACTGTGGTAATCAAGGCTTACTTGAAACCGCCAGCTGTATAGTCTACCTGCTTAGTTAATTAAAGATGCCACTGTAAGCTGTCACAAATTTAGTGCTGGCAGGTTCTCATCCATTAATTTACATTATTCTGTATGTAGACTGATGCCATCTACATATTAATTGAACAAAAACCATTCCTAAATGTATATGCAATAGTATTATTATTCAAAGATCTTACAAATGCACTTGTTCTATCAGTTTGGACCTGTGCAAGTGGAAGTATTGGATCCTATTAAAGGAATACTCCCCTGTTCTGAGGAAGAGCCATACCAGGCATTCAGTTTTGAAGAAGAGTCATATCAGACTCCAAATTAACTCTGTTTCTCTCTCTACAGGTGTTGCCAGATCTGCTAAGTTTCTCCAACATTATGTGTGTTTGCTTTGTATTTCCAGCATCTGCTGTATTTTCCTTTTATACGCCTACGTTATTGATTCCTTTACATTGGAAAAATGACAGAAACATTTCTGATGGTAAGCAAGTCTGCTGTCACTTAACAGTGAACTGATGGCATTGATCATTGATGGCTTGGAAGGATATCATCATATAATAATTAACCTCTTCACAATTAGAGGTGGCGCCGTCCTTATGGTAAATATTGGTCAGGCTTCAATAAAGATGTAAACTCTCCATGAGTTTGCCAGCTGAAAGGTGAATCTCATCTAACATTCCCAAACAGGTGTGCTCAGCCTGAGAAGTTTTAATTTATCTCTGTAACTAACCAAACATTCCAATTTTCCTTTGCCTTCACCTTTGCTACTTGACTGTCGCAGCCACCAATGTCAAAAAGTGCTGCATTCTGTTTAAGAAAGCATTTTTCCTGATCCATAGTTTTTATAGTTTTTTTATTAAAAATAGAAATAGGCTACCACTGTTAATGCAACTCATAGGATTGTGAGTCCTTCTCTCTTTTGATCATGACATTTCCTCCATGCTGATTGAGCCAACAATTTAATAAAATTGAGTTGGCAACAGCAATATTTATTCTAATTTGATTTTGCTGTCTGCTTTTACAGAGCTAGTTTGAACCTTTAATATTTATTCAGCTCTATATTACCAAAACCTTGCGCCATCAGATGCTATAATTGAAGTAGAAAAATGGTGAGAACTTGGTAATACTGTGTGTCTCAGACTCAGGGGTGGATCTGAGGTACGCACCAATCTCTGTTGGAATTATGGTGGTTGGTCAACAGAATATTGCAAGGAAATCATTGGTGACATTTGTATGTGTGTCTCACAACTCACAGCTCACATCAAAGTAGATATGGACAGACTCTACTGGTTACATAATGTCAAAGTGATATGGATGAAGATAATTTGACCTCTACACATGGACACACAAAGGAAGTCTTTTCTGAAGGATGCATTTTTCATAATATAAATATATAACGTAAGGTTGATACATACTGAGAACTTTGACCCCATGTCGGAGAGACTGGACACGGCTTGGCTCCACTGACATGCTTAGTGTGGTCTGCTGTCCTTCAATTGTGCATATCTGGCCATCTTGAGCTGCTTGTTTGAACATCGCTATTAGCTGATTGGCGATGATTGTATTCAGGACTGAAATGATTACCATGGGTATAACAAAGGAGAGAAATGCATTCACCTATAAATAAGACAAATGGGTGCAATTAGAAAACAGAAAAAAATACTTGTAATAATCAGAAATATAGCTTTGGAATGACCCTGAAAATTGATGGGTTGTGTTCTAAGCTGTTACAATAACAGCTTATATTTATATAATGTCTTTAGCATAATGAAATTACTCAGGCTGCTTTATAGGAGCATTATAAAACAAAATATGACAACAAAGCACATAAGGAGATATTAAGGTCAGGTGATCAAGAACTAATTCAAGCAGCTATGTTTTGAGAAATATACTGCAGAACAAAAGCAAGATAATGAGTTGGAAAGGTGTGGGAAGGCACAGCCACTGTTAGAAGTGATGTGTCTTTCATGCTTGTCACAGATTGCTCACAAAAGGCACTTGCAGCAGAGGTACATTATATCAACGACTTAGATAGATGGATAGAAGGCTCTATAGCCAAATGTGCGGATGACAGAAAAATAGGTGGGACAGTAAATTGCAACGAGGAAATGAGAACCTTACAAATAGATATCAATAGGTTAGGAGAGTGGGCCAAAATATGGCAGATGGAGTTAAACATGGATACGTCTGAGGTCATACATGTCAGTCGGAAGAATGGGAGGGCGACCTATTATCTAAATGGGGAGAGACTTTGGGGTACTCCGATGCAGAGGAATCTGGGTGTCCTCGTTCATGAGTCACAGAAAACTAACATGCAGGTACAGCAGATAATAAAAAAAGCAAATGGAAGATTGGCTTTTATAGCTAAAGGAATAGAATATAAAGGCAAGGAAATATTGTTGCAACTATACAAGGCATTTGTGAGACCGCACCTAGAGTATTGTACACAGTTTTGGTCCCCTTATTTGACAAAACATGTAGTAGCATTTGAGGAAGTTTAGAGGATGTTCACTAGATTGATCCTAGAGACGAGGGGGGTTTGTTGTATGAAGAGATATTGAACAGTTTAGGCCTATACTCTCTGGAATTTAGAAGAATGAGGGGAGATCAAATTGAGGTATTCAAGATGATAAAAGGTATAGGTAAAATAGAGGGGGAGTGGATGCTTCCTCTTGTGGGGCATTCTAGGATGAGGGGTCATAGTCTTAGGATAAGGGGTAGCAAATTTAAAACAGAGTTGAGGAGTAACTATTTCTCCAACAGGGTTGTGAATCTGTGGAATTCGCTAACCCAAAGTGCGGTGGTGCTGGGACAATGAGTAAGTTTAAGGAGAAGTTAGACAGATTTTTAATTGGTAATGGGTTGTAGGGTTATGGGAGAAGGCAGGAAAATGGGGGTGAGGAGCATATCAGTCATGATCAAATGGCAGAGCAGACTTTGATGAGCTGAATGGCCTAATTTGCCCCTATGTCTTATGAACTTATTTCTTATAGGTACAGATCACATGAAAATACAAAAACAGCTAGAATACAAAAGGGAACAATTTTATTTCTCCAAAAGTTCCCAACCATTCTCCTGGACTTTTCACAGAAAAAAAATTGAATCATCGCAAACACTATCATTTGTAGCTGGAAGTGACACATGTTGCCAACATACTTGGTCACACAGAAAATTAACATTTATTAACAGAACCACAAGTCTTGTCAGTTCAACTGATAGTCTCTGCACATATGTCATACATACATAGTTTATAGAACATCTTCTAATGTGCATTTCCATTTGCTGTTCATCTGGTAACTGCTCATTCCTAAAGTGATGTTCCTTCTTCAGGAAGTTTTGCTCCCATGCCAAGTGCTGCTGCCATAGTAACCGTTGTTACTGATCCAGTTCTGTTGCTGGGTGATGGTGGAGCTCTGGAACTGATCATCTGTACTCTGTGCCATTGGGGAGATCACAGCTTCTTAATTCATTGCCTGCAGTGAACGAATGGTTTTGCCAATCGTACATAAGTGTCTGCAGTTATGGTGATATATCCAGCAGTTCATGTTCAACAGACATGATCAAAGTGGTAACTGCTCAATACATGGCCCAGTTTGCCATTGGGCTGACTTCAGTTGAGAGCAATGAATGTTTACACTCTGGTTGGCTCTCCAATGTTCAGTTCTGGTGATGACGACAGTTTAATAGAACATAGAACATAGAACAGTACAGCACAGTACAGGCCCTTTGGCCCACAATGTTGTGCCAACCTATTATCCTACAAAGATCAAACTACCCTGCACACCTACATTATACAACAAAGAAAATTTTGGTTTCCTGTCATTTCACCTTGATTTATCACTAATACCCTGGTAGAACTTGTGCCTTCAGTAGTGCTTTCACCATTAGAAGAGCTGTTTGGGTGCAGTGTGATATTATTTTTTGGACTAAATTAGTTTCCATGCCTTCAAGTAGATGCGTTTCTCTACCCAAGGACTGCCTTGTGGAAATCTGTGCTGGATTTGATTGATTTCTTTATGATCCTTTGTTAATTTTCACTGCTGCCTCAGCCTTTCCATTTGATGAGGATAGTGTGGCGAAGCTGTATGATGTTGAATTTCACAATGTTTCAAGAAAAGACAAATTCTTCACTCATGATTTGAGGACCGTTGTCATTCATCACAATGTCATAATCTCAGGTCAGTGGAATGTGGATGTTTTTAAACTGTAATTCCAAAAATGAGCTTTTTATTCAAAATAAAGGGGGCTGATACAGCCAAGAACGACTTGTAAAATAAGTGGCTGGAAAACCCATGGAATGCCAAATCTTCAGAGACGAAGTGAACTTTAAACAACAGCCCTCCAAAGGTGGCAAAAGGCAAGAGGCAAGTCAAAACAGACTGGACTATGATCTTCTGACTACAAAGATAATGAGAGGCTGATGCAACAAGCAACCTCCTGTGGATTTATTTTTCCCTGTGAAGAATATACAATGGCAGGAGTTCAAAAACCAGTTTCAACTCTACTGGAGTGTGCTAGTGAATGTTCTCATGTGCAAAAGCTTCGGTTTGAGCACACTGTAGAGGTCAAAATTGAAGAGCTAGCCCCTAATTACCTTTATGTTGGAGGTAAAAGTATGTCTCACTCTGAGCAGCAGAAGTCAATCAGCTAGCAACCAGACTAAAGGTAAAAGGACAACACTGGACTCTTTCTCACCCTGAATGCTGGAATTCAATCACGGACAAAAGGAATCAGAACCAGAGAATCTCAACCAATCTGAAAAACTAAGAAGCAATGAAACTGACTATTCACCGACAAATATCAACACTACTGGCACCTGTACTACAATAGTGCAAGTCTGGACAAAGATTTCCAAAGGGACATAATCCTTTTTATATTATCCTAGCGCAACCAACCAAGAGGGTGGGTGAATAAAGAAGGGGAGCCAGTTCATCCTTTCTCACCAGGGAGCTTAACAGTTTAGGGTACCCCATCTGAAACAGTAATAAATTGGGGAAGATTGATCAGGGCCTGGTCATAAAAACAACAATATCTGGACTGCCATGTTGATGGAAGTGTGTCTTTTGATATTCTACAAAATTACTGTTAATCATTAATATCAGATGGCTCACCTCCCAGTACCAAAATACTCATCAACAGTGACAAGGGAATCAGTTACTGCAAGAACAAAGAGGACTACTCCAACCTTCATTCATGGTCTCTCTGGGATCACATATGTCAAACATAGATCTTGAAGTTGGTATTCATTATAAACAGATCACTGGCTGATTTGGCTGATATCCGCTCACGGTTGACCTGTAGAAAATTTATCTTACCGCCTTCAACCTAGACTCAATTCCTTGATGATTTAGCATCTCTTTTCTCATGTTTATAAGGGTAATTACTCCATTTCCTCTGTACAAAATGCCATCTTAGGCAATCACTTAATCACTGTATGCCCAATAATCTGATAGGAACAGGTGTCTTCTTGACCATTCGTTCATTACTACATCCTTAAGCAATTGGAGACTTGTACCTTCTTGTGTAATTTCATTGACTTGAGCAAGAAGCTTATCTTTCAAATTCAATGTCTCTGCTGAGTTGATGACAGCCAGAGCATGTTAAGCTATTGTTTCTCATTGAATCTCAAAGATTTAACATTGTATTAGCGTATTCAATGCTCTTACTGGGAGTGCCATGCTTGACAGCATATTGACAATGTATATTTGTTTCAGTTGTACATCCTATATCACATCCAGATGATATCTCTGCAAATGAAGTTACATTATTTCCAAGTGTTTTGGAGCACATAGAAGCATTTTGTGGACAATGATTTGAAGTGCCTTATGGTTGGATTGCATTGCCAAATTTACCTCTCCAAAACAGGCATTGACTAAAATGTTCATAAGCAAAGACAATAGCACTCTTCCTTTGTCTGAACATGGTGTTCAATTTTTGTTAATGTCTTTGACTCAAATGAGACTGTTTGGAGTTCCTTCAAATACTGTCTTGCTCACATCATATTGTCAGATCATTTCACCATTGATCTCATAATGTCTCAGTACTGGCACCATCACTAAATGTTTGAATCTACTGAAAACTGTTACTTGTTTTGAGTCTCACTACCACTGCACATTCTTAGCAGTGAGCTTTCATAGAAGTTTACATTCTGATGACAAGTTAGACAAGAATTTTGCTAAATAGATCACTAATCCAATAAATTATAGCACTGCTTTCTCATCTCTTAGACACTGTTTCTCAGACAATATGAGCACAAGGTGTAAGAGAAGAAATAGATCATTTGACCAACTGAGTCTGCTCTGCCATTTAACAAGGTCATGGCTGATCTGATGACCCTCAATTCTATTTTCCTGCCTTTTCCTAGTACCACTTGATTTCCTTACTGAATAAAAAGTTGTCTATTTCAGCCTTGAATATATTTAACGACCTGACCTTGACAACCCTCTGCAGTAAAGAATTTGACAGATTCATTATGCTCTGTAAATTGAAATGGCTCTTCATCTCTATTTTAACTGGGTAATCCCTGACTCTGAAATTATGTCCTCTGGTCCTACGTTCTCCCAAAAAGGGAAACAATCCTCTCCATAATTGTCCTGTTAGGCGTTCCCCTCCCCACA